GTGTGTGTGTGTGTGTGTGTGAGATTGTTCTCACTTTATTCTAGTTCACCTCCCTGACCAATTCCTTTCTTTCCCTCTTTGTCTGGACGACCATGAGGAGTAGAATCCATACTTCTATCATTTCACAATCTTTGAGGTCATGGTAGGAACACTCGCTTCAGAAAAAGTTTCACACTCTTGCCTCGAGCTATGCCTCGCCACTATTTCATCGTCAAAGTTTACTTTGAGTTCCTTAGACTCCATGGCTTAGTTTTGTGAATTAAGGGACTCTGTACTGGAAGACAAAACTCAGATGACTATAGTTTGTTAGCATGTTTGAATTACAAATAACCTGTTAAAGCGTATCTTTCATAGATTTCTGATATGCCCTTCCTTGCACAATTTACTTTTTGGAGTCATCTTAATTTTGGAGGTTGGTCACATGGGCACGTGTCACTGGCCCAGTGTTAGCGTTGAGATCCGTGACGCACAAAACAATCAAAGTTTTAAAATCTTCATTTCCAAGGGAAATGGTGGTTTTGAGTAAAAGTATTGAACAGTTTTTGCAGCTTCTCTTGTTGGCATATTGCATTGACTCCCATTCATTGTGGACATCCCAGTTATTTCCTCATGAGAAAATGATTCAGTCCCCATGAGGACAACTGGTCCCTGCAAGGTCAGTGTTTATATAGGAGAAGGTCCAAAATAGGTAACACCCCCCCCCCCACACACATGAATATACATAAAGTCGTGCAGTGAGTCTGCTGGAGCCAGATAACAGATGGACAGTGAGGTCAAAAACAGTGAGAACGAGGGAACAAAACACTGAGGTTTAGAGAACAGATGGGCGAAGAGTTCACTGATGGGAAGAGTAAGAAAACATATCGAAACAGTCAAAGTGTCAGAAAATCCTACAGGGACAAAACTTCCATAGAAAGCTGATAAATTATATAAAAAAAGTAGAAAATATGTGTGTAACAATGAGTATAACATTAGCACGGGCAGTAAATGCTGAGTCACTTCACTACAGCTCGAGCAGCCGGTGAACAGGAAGAAAATAGTGCCGGTATCATGGGAGCCTGCTGAGGAGAACAGGACTCTGGCAACTGCTACTGCACGAGAGGAAAAATGGAGACGAGGAGGGCGGGAGAGGGAAAGTGAAAAAAATGAGAGGAGGAAACGATGGAGGAGAGAAAAAGAGTGAAAGGGAGGCAAAAAGGAGAATAATGTAGGAGTCAGGAAGGACGTGGAGGAAAAGGAGGTGAGGAGCGTGAACAGAGGAATCCAACAGGGAAATATCCTGAAAAGAAGGACAGAGGGACACTTCACCGTCAAAGCTCGTCAGCCTGACTCAGCACAACATGAAGTCACTTCACCTCTGCTGACCTGCTTTTACAGACACCAGGGACCAAACTAAAACACTCATGTCAACTGTTCTTACTACGGCAAACGTACCACAGGAATACTCTGCACTCATTTCACCGTGGAAACCTGATGATAAAACACAAAGTACTGCTGATGTTTCAATACGTAAATCTTGATTTTCAAGTTGGATGCGCTGACTCTTGATAAAAATAGATGAAGTGACTGCTCTCAAAAGCATCTCATTCGCCCCCTGGTGGCTGGCTGCAGTATGCTGCCTCCTCCATATAAGGATGTGGGACATGGTCCAAACAAAAAGACAAAAGTGCACGTTAAATGAATTGTTCCCAACAATGTCTCTGTCATTTTAGGAAGTTCAAGACATGGGACAAGAATTAAAAACCATTTTTGGTGCAGATCCAGACAAAGTGACCGATTCAGGATTTTGTTCTTTTCACTTTCATTAACATTTTGTGACAGAAATGTTTTTATTCATTTCCCAGGGAATGGATCCAAACACAACAGGTCTAGGGGATTTAAAGCTGGGGTTGGTAATCCCGGAAAAGTTTGCATAGCAGGTTACACCCCTCCCATCAGCTCCTCTGGTCAAAGCTCCGCCCCAAAAACACTGACAACTGCCAAGACGACTCTTCTCTAACTCCAAACAATCGTCTCTGCCTCAGCAGTGTTTGTCTCGCTGACTGTATTTCTTTTATTTTATGTTTTATTTTTATTGAATTTCTTACCTTGAAATTTACTGTTGTAGTTGTCAGCCCGAATTTTAATATTCAAGTC